GCTGACAAAATAGCCTTCAACCTCCAAGACAAATTTCCAAATCATTTCTAAAGTTCCACCATTTTGATGACTCCGGTGATCAACACTCTTCCACGATTGCTATCACTGTATGTCTCTTTCTTTTGGTCTGGTTAAGCCATTCCTATCTCTGCTGAACCAAATACAAAAAATGAGTCATTTTAAACGGAAATCATTAGCCCACAATCGCCTTTGGATGTGTCGGACTTTGGAGATTGCAATTTTTTTTCCTTCGCACAGAATTGGAAAAAAGGGTGATACTATGGTGAAAGACTTACTCATTGTCATCTGTGTGACAACACACATGCTTAAGGATAATGACTGAAGGTTTAATTGTATTAAAGAAATAATTGGAGTTTTTCATCATTTCAGGGAAGAAAATTAGAATAAAAAAATTAATATCCAATAATTAGTGAAAGTGTCGTTTAATTATTAAGTTAAAGTCATGATTAAGATAAAAACTATATATTATGATTTAAAAAAATAATAATAAATTGGGTTAGAGTTACCGATTGATTTATCAATAAATTCTAGGTCTTAAAAATGAAAAATAAATAGTACTAGTAATGGGAATGAATTTCTTAGAGAGAGAGTAAAAGAATAGTGGAATCTAAATGTAACGCATCAGGTGCTTCACGATATCTGCAATTTTTTGCTTTTCCCACGCGGGCCGCCCTATTTCTCCCATGACTTCACGACGCGTTCTTCTGCTTAACAAATACTACTACTCCACTAATATATAAAAAATGTAATGAAATTCCATTTTAAAGCATATGCCCTACAGGGTAGACGAAAGGAAAAACTGATTATCTGGGGGTGGTCAAGACATTTTACCGCCTATTTTAAAAGCCATGTAAAGATTCTGAGCAGCTGTTTGAATTAAGTTTTTGATAAATTTTCATGACAAATTTCAAGAATAGCAGTTATATTTGGTTACAATAAATTTTAATAAGCAGGATACAAATACAAATAATCGTAGAGATAGTTGAAGGTGAAAGTCCGATTTGGTGAAATGGTGGGACGCGCCAAAGTGTAGTTAAGAATCCTAAGTGTCTGGCACTTAGCAGCTTCAGAGTGCAATTGGCAGATGAAAGAGCGAATTGATTGTCCAATCCCAGTCAACACAGCACTCTCTTATCCCTTCTCTCTCTATCAATGCACCCCAGAGGCTTGGTCCCTCGAGTACCCCTCTGAACCCCACTCGACCCGAACCCACCCTCTTTTCCATTTTATCTTCCTCACACCTCACCACCTGTCACTATATCGAACCCTAAATCACCCTTGCCATTTCATACTGCACAGAACACAACTTCCATGCACTTGTCAGTCACCGTATCCCAACCCCTTCCCATTCGGCAGAGGATTTTAATCTTCTCAATTTCTTCGTGGACTAAACCATAAACACTCTCCTCTCAAAGCCTCTCTGTAAAAATTTTCATCCTTTTTTTTTTTTAATTTAAAAAAAATGGAGAATTACTCTTATAACTCGTATCCGGACTCCGGCGACTCTTCGCCACGGTCCCGAGAAATCGACCTCGAAAATCCACCGTCATGGGAGGACCAACCGCAACATGCACAAAACTACAAGGCCAAGTTTATATGCAGCTACGGAGGCAAGATCCACCCTCGACCTCATGACAACCTGCTATCTTACATCGGCGGAGAGACCAAGATCCTAGCCGTTGAACGCACCATCAAATTCTCCTCAATGATCTCCAAGCTCTCCGCTCTCTGCGGCGGTGGCGACGTTAACGTTTCATTCAAGTACCAGCTCCCCGGCGAAGAGCTCGACGCCCTTATTTCTGTCACTAACGACGATGATCTCGAGCACATGATGCACGAGTACGATCGCCTTTATCAAGCTTCGGCTAAGCCAGCCAGGATGCGGCTCTTCCTATTTCCGGTGACGGGCTCCGAGAATTCCAGGAGCGAAGGGACGAAATCGGACCGTGATCAGTTCTTGGAGGCTTTGAATTACGGTCCGACCCCAGGACGCGAGAAAAACGCTCCGATTCCACCAAACAATGTAGATTTCTTGTTTGGACTTGAAAAGGGAATAGCTCCACCTCCGCCGGTGAAAATCCTCGATACCGTGGCGGAACCGGTGACCCCGCCGCCTCCTCCGATACCGGAAGTCGTGGGTACAGATCATGTTTTTAATCCGGTTGAAATTCAGAGACAGTTACAAGAATTGCAGAGGCTTCATATTCGGGATCAAGAACAGCTGGCTTTGTATGCGAAGAAGAATGAAGACGCTGCTTCTTTGCCTTATACAAGGGAATACTACACCCAGAAGTTACCTGAAAAAGCGCCACCGGTGACTGTACCGGTAAATTTACAACAGCATATGCAGGCTACAGCTGGATTCTGGTCGGATAAACAAATTTCTTCCGGAGGTTTCCCAGCAACCGTAACTACAGCCCCAGGCCCACTACCGCAGGCGGAACATCCTGTTTACATGATCCCAGCACCGGGACAGGTTCCGGCCACCGTATACCACGCACCTTCACCAGTTCCAGTTCCAACTCCAGCACCTGCACCAGCAGCACCACAAATGGTTCGACAGGTAACTGGACAAGCCGGTCAAGGCTACTACACCAACATACAGAGAATGCCACATGAAGTCTACCGGGAGCAACCTGTTTACAACATGGTGGCGCAACCTCCGCCGACTCAACACCAGCCTATATCAGCCATGCCGCATCCGCAGCAGGTTATGAGGCCGCCTAGCGGAGGGGTGTCAGATAGTGCATACGCCCAGATGGCAGCGTACGACGGGCAGGTTTATTATACTGCGCCGGGTGGTGTTGTTGTGCCACCTCAGTATCAAGGCTTTGGCGTGGCGGTTACTGGTGAAATGAAAGGGGGTGTCGAGGGTAAAGTGGTAAATAAAGTCTCACAAGGTTCAGTTAATTAATTATTAAAGAAATTGTGATGTATCAAGTAAGTATAGTTTTAAAATTTTGGCTCTTATTTTATTGTGTTTTTTATGCTATATGAGATTATGAGTTTGTGAATATTATTTTGCTTTGTTTAGCTGCTTAAATTATGATTTGGATTACCTTTCTAGACGATTATTGGATCTCGAATATATTCATAAAAATTTATCTTCTTACAAATTTTCAACATATTGGTTTTCGATTCAATCTAATTTTTTATGATCAAATTTATTTTTTAAAATCGAATTTAAGATCAAATCGAGAATCAAGATTGGGTTATATGCAAAACCACTCCCCAATCTAACATATATATATATATATATATATATTATTTTGTTATTATTATTTAATTTTATATTTATATATGTTTTTGATATATTTTATATTTAAAAAATAATACTTTTTAATTTCGAATGATTATGAATGCAAATATATACAATTTATATTAGATAAAAATATAAAAATAATATTTTAATATTAAATCAAATTGAGATTCGAAGTAAACAAAATTCATCCCGACTCGATCTGTTATGTCTCTTTTCACTTTGCATGTGAATTCACTTTGAATGTGAAATTGATTTGGGTTTTATTTTCTAAATGGAAAAAAATCCTTGGCTGCTAGACCTGAAAATTTTACCACAACCGCTGCTCCAATTCCCCCCAGGGTTTAAACAGTTGCAGTTGTTCTCTTCTTTCTCAATCCTCCCCAGTATCTTCGACATTCTTTTTCATGGTGATCCGTGATGAATCTTCGTTTTCCCACTTTCTTCTGCTTAATAGCGACGGTTGAGGTTGCTTGACTATTTTGGTTTAAGAATATAAAACTTTTGTCTTGTCTCCTTCGTTTACAGGAGCCCAAGTGAATTGGATGCTTTAGCAATATGAATAAATCAAAGATTCGAGAAACTGATTTGAATGATTTTAACCATCTCCATTTCCTCTTTCCTGAATGATCTTTTAGCATATTAGGTAAAGCTAAAGGAAAAACGAAGGTTGAAATTTGCAGCCTAGAATCTAAGCATTTTCCTGCTGACTAATCTTCGAGAAGTGACTTCCACGAAAGAAGTTGCGCGCCAGACAATGTGATACAATGACAGAGGAAGGAAAGAAGGCAAATGGAGTTTGGGGTTTTGACTGTGTGATTAGAATTGAATTTATTTTTATCTACAAGTTCATATGTTTTGCTAAAAGTGCGCCTACGTGAGATTTTTAATCGAGTTGGGATTAGTTACATGTTAAACTCATTCAACAAAACTCCCAAAAAAAAAATGATAAAGAAAAGCATGAAAGAGACTACAACTACTACTTTTTATTATTAGTGTAATAAAATGAACAAATTCCACTTACAGATGAACATTTTCTGAGTGACCAAACACAGCAAACATGCAATAATAATAACACGGATAGACCCCACCTCCGCTAATTTTGTTTGAATTGAAGCAAAAGGGAGAGAATGTCATTTTCTTATCCCAATTCTCATATAATAATTATATTAAATATCACCAGCTCTATACTAACCTGGGACTTTTCCGACATTATCTTGGAGTTTTGGTTTTTGATTGAAGATGCCCCTGCTTGACTAATATTTTTGTTTGAGCATTTGTACTATTATAATATAATTATTTAATAAAAAAATGTTTATCTGTTTGGTTTAGGTTGGGGTTGGATTTTTTTTGGCAATAAATAAATAAATATAATATATATACATATATATATATATAGAGAGAGAGAGAGAGAGAGGTTCATTTGAGGACTTCACAGACAAGATGGAAATTGCATCTGCAGGCCTAGCAGTCAGCTTGGTTAATGGTGAATTTGAGGCCCAACATTGTTATAGTTTTAAGTCTATAATTTTGGTCAAAGCGAATAAATAGTGTAAAGAAGAATGGTTTGTTACAGGGAGTTTGGGCTTGGTCAGGCTCAAACCATGATCACTAATTCGGATAATTTTCCTTTCTTTCGTTGCTTTTCGTCCAAACTATTTTGTTTAGAGAATTGTAATTTTACTTTTTATATATTTTTTATTAAATCCTCGAATAAACAAAAGATATGCAAGAGCCAATAATTATGTGATCTTTTATGAGAATATTATATTTTTAATTTTAATAATTAGACTCTACATATCCTAACAAAATATACATTTTAGAATAAAAATATAATGAACTTTGTGTTTTGTTTCTGAAATTGTTCGTCGATTCAAAGAAAGCAGCGTAAAAAAAAAAAGGGTCCTTTTAACGGCTGCATCGGTGAAGGTTCTAAAATTCTGTAGCAGAAAGAAACACATACCCACCTCCCTCATTACTGTTCGAGTCAAACCCAATCCTGAAATGACTTTGATCCCTCACCTTAGGGACGTAATTCAATCGTTCGATACTTTGATTAGGTTGATTGTTGATCTGATTCGATCTTATGAGATTAATATTTATTTTTGATTTCAGTTTCGGGTTGGATTGACTAAAGGTTAAGAAACATTAGTCGAAGATTCAAATTTTAGATAAACTCGACTCAAACTGATTATATTATATAAAAAATTATTTTTTAATTAATTAATTAATTAATATATATTTATATAATGATATTTTTAGATATTTTATATTAAAAAATAATATTTTATATTCTAAAATATATATTTTATTAATTTCGAATTGAATATGATACGATTTATATAATATCGAATCAAGATCGAATTCAGATATAAAAAAATAAAAAAATTTCGGATAAAATCATATTCGAATTTATTAATTCATAAAATCAAATCGAATTCAGGATGAACAAAACCTGCATATGACAAAAAATTTCTTTTACGATGTGAGGTTTTCATTGGTTTAATCAACAAATTAATGTTAACGATTGCACGAAAAAAAAGTGAAATTAAACCTCATATTCAATATTTTATAAAGAAAAAAAAAAGCTGTTTTATTCCTATATTTTTTTATAATCCTTTTCACTTTTTTAATAAAAAAATTGAATTTAAATGTTAAATTTTTTTAATAATATTTTTAAAAAATAATTATATAAACTAATTGAATTAAATTTTAAATTTAAATAATCCTTTGACATTCTTAATTTAAAAATAATACAACAGCCAGGATTTATCAAGGAAGAAAATTAAACACCAAAATGGGCATAAAAGAACCAAGTTGGCTGCATGAGCAAAAAACAAAAGGAAAGGAACAAGGTTTTTGATATTCTATCAATGTGTTCAATTCAGCCTTCAACATTGTTTTTTTTTTTTTTTTTCACTATTACTATCTAAGCAAATTATTGATTAATCTAAATGCCTCAAGTTCTTATTCAATATTGGTATAATTGGACAGCTGACACAAGTTGAAAAACTTCTTTGAAATTCATTAAAAAAAAAATGAGATTAAGATTTGAAGTCAAACGAAATAAGATTATAAATGTAGCATAGAAAGTTCTTTCTATTTGATTTATGGGATATTGTTTAGACTCTATCCACAAACATATAGGATTAATTCAAAGAACTCATGGAAAGCAGTACATAAAAAAAAAAAAAAAAAGATTTAAGGTAAAGCTTTTACATTAAAATATGGAAGATTTTTTAAAAAATAAATAAAATTTGACTTAATAAAATTCAACAATGCCAGCGAGCTTTACTTTAATGGTAAAAAATAAGTCATAAAACCTTAAAGTTTTAAGTTTAAATCTTATTGTGTATGAATTTAATTATTTAATTAAGTTTTAATTTATCAATTGATTATTTGATAATATAATAATTAATTGTATAAATATAATACAAATTTCAGGATAAATTTTCTTCAACCTCTTTTACTTTAAATGCCCCTAATTTTGCTTAATAATGTATCCCTATGTAATGTTTTTTCCTTTTTTTATCCCTAGATAACAAGTTCTTAACCAAAGAAAAATAGAGGAAAATTAAAAAAAAAAAAAAAGAAAAGTCTTGGTCTTCTCAGCAAATATACCATAAGTACTCTCTTTTTGACAAAGTATTCCCCACGCGCTCTCAACTCTCCAGTTCATCACCTCCAAACTGCAATTTATCAATTTCCGACGATGTCACGCGCTGTAACACTGGTAATTCCGATTAACTTCCGATATGTTTTACAGCGTCAGAAAATAGAAGCGAAATGACGAATCTATCCTTAAAAACGTTTCATCCCGCCAAAATCAACCTTGCATCCCGCCATTTGCCCTTGGTCTCAATTTGTTGACTCCCAATTTTTTGTCGTTTTGCATTTTTTTTTTAATACGAGTCAGATTATTCTCTAAAATTTTGTCCGGATACGATTTTAAAGATGTTTTTGTTTTAATTTAAATTTTATTAATTAAATAATTTCATTAAAAGGAAAAACAAATAAAAATTTATTATTAAACAAAAACATAAGTCATTGATTGGGTTAACTTCAATATGCTTTTCACACATAAAGCTGCTTTTGAATACGTCAATCTTTACGTAAACCAATAACTTTTTTTCGTTTTCACTGCCCTCTCTTGCATACTTTAACCTCAAATCTTTTTATAATTCATTGATTTGATCGTCTAACGGTATATTTCAAAGAGGAAACTTTGAACCCTTAATTTTCTATGTTTTTGTATTTTTCGATTAGGTTAATATTATGAGTTACTTCTAAATTATAATAAAATATTTAATATAATATATAAATTTTAAAAAATTAATATAAATTTTAAATTATAAATTTATTAATATAATATTTATTTTTAATATAATTAATTTAAAATAATAATACGTGATGAATAAATAATTTTTTAGATATTATATTAGTTAATACATTTATATTTTATATGTTTTATTAAAAATATTTAAATATATTGACTCGAATAGCTTGTGAACAACTAATCAAAATTTTATATTTTAATATATTTTAATTATTTTAATTGATAAAATATCTTGAACTTGAGTATAAATAATTGAGCTTTTATCGAATACAATAATCAAACTTATTAGTACATGTTAATTGAGCCTAATCAAGTGAATTCAAGTAACTCAAGTTTTATCTTAGCCGAGTTCGAGCTAAAAAATAAAATTATATTAAGTTCAAGTCAAGTTTTAAATTTCGAATTTAAAATCGAGCTTTAGTTCGAGTTTAATACTGTATCAACTTGAGCTCGAGTAGCTTAATTTATTGATTGAGTAAAGTTCAAGTATTCTTATACTCGACTCGAGTAACTCGCGACTTTAATTAAAATTTTATAAATTAATATATTTTAATTATTTTAATTAATAAAATATCTTGAACTCAAATTCGAGCTCAAATATAAATAATTTAGCTTTTATCGAATATAAAAATCAAGCTTATTTTTACATGTTACTAAAGTCTAATCAAGCGAGTTTGAGTAACTCGATTTCTATTTCGCGTCGAGCTAGATTTAAAAAAAATAAAACTCAATCGAGTTTGAGACTCGAATTTAAAATTGAGCTCAAATTTAATACTATATCGATTTGAATTCGATCAATTACACTCATACGTGAAACTTAAACTTTAAAACTTAATAATCACAATTTTCCATCTTATATATATTTTTATAAAAAAATTATAACTCTTAAAATAATTATATAAATCAATCAAATTAAAAGCATTACTGTTAATTATTACCAATAAAAAAAAAAAATAATTATATGAAACAATTCGCTATCTCAATATATCATTTTCATTCAAATCATATAATGTAAATCATATTATTTTAAAAAGTTAATAATTTATTACATATCATATGTATAAATCTATTAAAAATAAATATTTATATATGTGATGTTTAATTAATAATTGATTTTTATAATAATATAAATACATGTCATAATCTGAATAAAAATAACATATATTAACATGAAATAATAATTTTTTATAATATTTTTTTCATAAAAATCAACTCAATTTATTCAAGATTTAGTTATTAGAACCATGCCGAGAAATCAGTAATTTTGGTATTTAAAAAAAAAGAAAATTATTAAATTAAACAAGGAAATAAAGAATAGCAGTACATATTTTCGGTGATCGAAAGTAAAAAGTAAAAACTCACCTGAGGAGCGTGGCCTGGCATTTGCTAAATGCTTTACTTCAAAGTGATATGTATTTCTGAGATGCTTAATTAAAGAATTTCTGCATTTTGTAAAAATGATATATTTTAACAATTTGTTTAGTATTATTTAAATAAAAATTAATGTCAAATTAGTAGAGCCAATGTCAAGAAAAATATATATTTATTTATGATTGTATTAGAGAAAAATGTGGGTAGAAACTAGAAACTTAGAATAGATATATCGGAAATGAACCTGAAACTTCAAACGGACTTTCATTTCAACGGAGGATGATTGGATACCCATCATCAAAGTCGAAACTGCTTTTTACCCCCGGATTATCCACTAATTACCACAGTTAGTTATTACTAATTGTTTGTTTCCATAATTAAAAAAGTTGCTATGAGATGATGATAAACAGTTGTTGGATGAAAAGGAATAATTGTAATTCGATGGTTATTGTGATGACGATATTACCCTTGCCACACGTTTGGAACACCCTTGCCGTGTGGCTTTCGGCTTAAATCTGACGACCCAGTTGGCTTTCCGTCCACGTCATCATCCGCCCTAAATTCACGTCACATGCATCCAAATTTTTTTTAAAATTTTTTATTTACTTAACTCATTTATATATTTAAAAATTTTCAAATGCGTAATTTCAAAAAATTTGGTATTAATTTTAAAAATATATTACGCATCTAAATTTTTTTAAACTCACTCTCTTAAAAAAAAGTTTGATCAGCATGCATCATCGTATCATACTCATCACATACATCACTCGAAATTCACCCCAAACCCAAACCCAAGTTTAAGATCCCTATCCACGGTCTTCCTGCTTTACACGTATCCCAACTCCCCCATCCCAACCGTCCATGCCCGGTCACCTGGTCATCCTTCTGGTCAACATCCAAATCTCTAATAACCCTTGGATCCAGAATAGGACACCATCTAACGCTCACAATACTGCCCGAAATTCAATTGGGCAGATCTCATAGCCTTTAAGAAGCGAGCCTAGCCTTCTCTTGTTACTCGCTCATCAAGGGTGCCGGACAACCCGAAGCCCTAGTCTTTCACGTGCAATATTTTATTTTCGAAAGAAAATCGTTTCAAGGCTTATCCTGTCCTAAATTTTTGGTTACATTTGTTAAGGCGGCGCGTGGTGGTTATTTAAGTGGCGCGTGGGGACCACGCTTTTCTATTTCATGGTTTTAATTTGTCAATCTGAATCGGGAAGCCCTCGCGGGAACCCTCCCGGTTCCCGATAATTTATGGCTTCGGCCGTTTTAGCGAATCGAAGTGAGTCGAATTGGCCACCGCAGCCGAAACGCAGTGTCGCTGAATTCATGGGCAAAGTTCCCTTCACAGCAACAAAACCAAACCCTAAGCCTAAATTCAACAAGAAACGCCAATTCCACCATCAATTGGCCCCACCTGATGACGGTGCTGGTCACGTGGTCGATGATTCCCCAGCCGTGACCCAATCCGCGGCTTCTGACGATGCGTCATCAATTAATCGGAAACTAAACGATTTCAATTCCGGCGCTTATGTTAGCTTCTGCATCAGCTTGTATTCGAGGAAAGAGTTGATTGATCTGAAGAATCAGTTGATTGCCGAGTTGGAGCAGATTCGTGAATTGAAGAATCGAATTGAGTCAAATGATTTTCACATTAGATCCAGCTCCAACAAGAAACCCTTACCCAAGAAAAACATTTCCGGTAATAAACGGCCTTTGCCCCCTAATTTCAGCAAAGAATTGAAGAGATCGAACCCTCAAGAGAACGGAAAAGCATCAACGGCTCATTTGTTAAAAAATTGTTCCCAAATCTTGAACAAACTGATGAAGCATAAGCATGGGTACATCTTCAATTCGCCGGTGGATGTCGTTGGGTTGGGGCTTCATGATTATTATGATATAATCAAGAATCCGATGGATCTTGGCACTGTTAAATCGAGGATGGCAAATAATTTTTATGGATCTCCGTTGGATTTTGCGGCTGATGTAAGGCTGACTTTCAGTAACGCCATGTTGTATAACCCTAAGGGCCATGAGGTATATGTGTTGGCTGAGCAGTTGCTTGCGAGATTTGAGGAATTGTTCCGGCCGCTGAGTTTGAAATTGGAAGAGAAAGAAGAGCCACAAGAAAGGGGTTATTATGAGGAAGAGTTGCAGGCGAGTTCTTGTGATCATGGCGTAGCTGATAGGTTGAAGAAAGATAAGGAAAGAGATGGGGAGAGGGTTATTGTTGATAGGGATGATTCAATTAATATGGTGGCAAGATCTGATAAAATTGGAGGGGTTTCGGGCTTCGTTTCAAACCCAAATGTACCACCGCCTCAGATGCAGTTGCAGGTGCCATCAAGGGTGGCTTCACCGGTAAGGACACCATCAATGAAGCCACTGAAGCAGCCAAAGCCAAAAGCTAAGGATCCGAGCAAGAGGGAAATGAGTATGGAGGAGAAGCAAAAGTTGGGGATTGGATTGCAGAGCTTGCCACAGGAGAAGATGGATAATGTGGTTCAGATTATCAGGAAGAGGAATGGGCATTTGAGGCAGGATGGGGATGAGATTGAACTTGATATTGAGGCAATGGATACAGAGACTCTGTGGGAGTTGGACCGGTTTGTCACTAATTACAAGAAGATGGTCAGCAAGATTAGGCGGCAAGCATTGATGGCAAATAATGTGGCATCTAACGACAACAATAGGGTAAGCACATTGTGATTTCTTGATGGGTAATTGATAATTTAATTACTTCGTTGTATGAATTTGATGAATTTATATTTGTACTGATTGGAAAATGATGGAAAATACAGGAAGAGGTAACTGTGGAGAAGATTGAGGTTCCAATGGAGATGAAGAAGCCCAAGAAAGGGGATGCTGGTGACGAAGATGTAGATATTGGGGATGAAATGCCAATGAGCAGTTTTCCACCTGTGGAAATTGAGAAGGACAAGGATCGTGCTAGTAGCAGTTCTAGCAGCTCCAGCAGTTCAAGCAGTGATTCATCGTCTTCAAGCGGTATCACTTGACTCTATTCTGAATTTTAGAATGATGGTTTCTAGAGAAAAGAAAATTTTCTGTGGTGAAAAGTTCTTATTTAGTAATGTTTTTATTGCAGATTCAGATTCTGGGAGTTCTTCAGGAAGTGATTCTGATGCTGATGATGCACTGTCTTAAGGCCTTGGATTGAAAGATGAGTTATTTGTTTTTGAAGGTTAAGAGCTGAGATTTTGGGGCAGTCCAGGAGTAGTATGGGGGGCTATAGATGAGGTAGATTTTGCTAACATCGCTAACAAATTGAAAGTTCGATGTGGGTCTCAGTCGTATTGAATGCTGAAGATATGAACCTTTTTTTTTTGTTTCCTTTTCTGTTGTTGTACAGGGTAGGTTCTTTAAGTGTGTTGTATGAATCGTAATGGTTGCTCTCTTTGGAGGAAAGAAATTGATGAAATTGGAAATGGGGCACCTTGGCCGGAAGAATGAACGCAGATTTTAGCGGGTTGGGAAATGTAGTGAAAATTATTTGTTAGAGATTTGGTAGTAGATAGGTAGGAGGGAGAAAATAGTGGGGGTAGGAAAATACTTTGTAAGCATTAACCCTAATACTTGATTTTCAGCATCAATAGAGGCATTTACAATATAATCTTTGCTTCATGGTTGATTGTTGGTAGGCATGGTATGGCAACAGAAGAAGACTCGAATGCAACTTTTTTAGAGTGCATATTGTTTCCTTGGTAAACCAGAGATTATAGCTGGAATGCTTCACTTGGCCTTATAGAGGAAAAGAAGTAGCCTTGTATAAAATTTTGATTATATTTTGAAAGGAATTGATGAGAGGCGGCAACCGTCTGGCTTGGCCTAGATTCGAGAGATGGGAACATGACAAACACATAATGGTGCCGCCTCAAAGCAACCCATTTGTGTGCGCTTTGCTAATGGGAAAAGATAATTGCCCGATACCCGTGGTGCCGACTAGCTCAAGGTTGCCCTGCGTAATTGAAAGGTCCAACTCATATCAAGAACTGGTAGGCTTTTATTTGCTTTATCACCGGTTATCACACTTTGTCATCAGGGACTGGTGCTAGTTTCCGTACTGTACCTTTCTGTATCATCAGGCTGCTTAAGAGAGATGAAAATTGACTCCCAAATTGAAGCCTTTTCAAAGTGACAATTTAGAAACCCAATTTTCTTGTCTTTTTGGCAAACAAAAGTTGCAGCTATCATTTCAGCCTTACGATGGATTTGATATTATATGATATCTACCAGCCTTAATGTTTGTTGTATATGCAAGTTTCCGTCTTTCACATAGCTTACTAATATCATATAAAATTCACTAGCATATGAACAAAATTGATAATTCAGCAAAGAAAAACTGAAAATATCTACTTTGAAAAAGGAATGATGTTGGGTGGCACTAACACCTGGTTGACATGGTCAACACATACACACAAGGTTTGAGACGCTGACAGTAAATTTATCTTTAAAAAAAAAAAAAAGATGCTTAACAGTGACAGCGATGGTGAGTGGGGACAGTGGTTGTTGGGAGGAAGCTTCATATACGCGTGCAGTTCTCAACACTTCTGATAAAAGAAATAAAAGCCTTACTAATTTTCAAGTTAAAACGCAGTTTCTTTAGTCACCAGAAGCAGCTTACCAAAGATAATACTACATATGCACATGATTCTGGGACATCGACGATGACTTGAACAAATATTCTTTTATCAGGTAGTAATGCATTGTCGATAACATCAGGGGGAGAAAACCAGCTACATGGCAAATATAAACAGGCTGCTAAACAAAATCTCTGATAAATTTATGGGTAATTTAAGCCTGAATGTCAATAATTTCTCACCCCACCGTGACCCCTTAGAAGAAAACAAAGCATAGGACCTAGAAAATAACAACTAAAAAATTTTTTGAATCTCACCTAGGGAGACTTCAGCAACAATTAGAAGAGACCACTAGAGTTCCTCCAATAAAGCAATCTTTTTGAAGCCATACTGGTTGTAATGAGGAAAGCCACGGGACAGCATGCAAGCACTGTAGGCAAGGCATCCGAAATCAGGTTCCCTTCATAAGTTGTTTACACAAATATCTGTTATCTTATAGCTGGATCTCATTCAAGATCTTCAACCTAAGAAAAAGGGGACCAAGTTGAGATTCACAAGCATAATAAGCATCTGGTCCCAAACATCTCAAAAAAGCATTGGTTAAGTCTAGCGTTGATATCATCTGGAAGATCTTATCACAAAATTTATGCACTTCAGTTTTTCTAGACTTCTTTTCAGGCATCCTTGTAAATAACGTCTATATTAGATGACTCAGACTCTGCAAATAGCTTTAACTTTCCTTGGAATTCAAAGGAACCTGTGACTTCAATATTTCAATCACCAAATCAAGAGCCTCAACCCATCTAAATTCTGATTTTGCACTGCCGTATTTGTCCAAAAGCAAGCCAAAGAGTTGACAACCAATCCTAGGATTTCTTCTAAATATTTCTTTCAAAAGTCCAGATTTTATTTGGAACATCTTACTGTCAAAATACCCCACTAACATAGTTTGTAAGAGATCAAATACTCCCTGCAATTCAGCATTTGAGAAGTTTCTTGCCTCAATGATCTTCAATATCCAGTATGTTGAATTCTGAGCAACCAAAACAAACATTTTGTATCTGTTAAAGAGGCTGATCGCTTCTTCTTGAATAGGGTACTAGCCGATTTTTTTCTCTTGAATGGTTTTGATGCTAACTTTAAGTTTTTCTCCAATAGAGATTCAAGAGTAGACAGTTGCATAGTTACATCCTCAGGCAACTTCTTTTCTTTGAATACCTTCCTTTGAAGAATTCCCCATATAGCTGTCCAAGTTGTTCACTACCTTCTGTAGTATGTGGATTGACAAATGACTGAGCCAAGTTTGAGTATACTGTCAGGACTTGCTTACCAAAATGAGATCATAAAATACAAAATTCTTAGAATGCTGTAAAATTGGAAGGTAAAAGAAACACTTCTTCAATGAAGTTGTCAAGATCACAAAAATCAACATTTCTAACCTTCCACAACATTAACAAATAGACAAAATCAATTGTAAATGCCACATTTAAATTGGCAGCAATAGTCATCATAGGTGGCATTTGACATATCGTGAAAGATAACTCAAAGCAATAAACGCTTGCCTCGATTTTCATGCAAGTAGATTTCCAAAAGTGAAAGAACTCGAAGTTTGAACAGGGTAAGTTGGGATTGAGCAGTTTCACCACCAGCCTGATTCTTTTTCTCTTTAAGGATCTGGGCCAGATAAGTGTCCATGTGGAACATTGCATTGTCATCCATTCCTCCACCAGAATCATTAGAATCTTCAGGAAATTCTTGACCAGCCCCCTCACTGCCAATTACTGCCTCAGAGTCCTCTGATTGTTCGTCACTCTCAGCTGTTTCACTTGTCTCAGCTTCATCTATATCCTCATCTTCTTCAATACCAAGAAGGTCATCATCACCAGCATCATCGTCTTCACTGCCCACTTCCTGATGTCTAGCAGGTGTTAGATCTTTCTTAATTATCTGCAACATGAACAGCAGCAGTCCATCATCAGTGACATCACCACAGAAAAATTTGAAAACATATACACAATACATGCCAAATAAATTATCATATTATTTTGGGAAAGACACCTATAATAAGTTAGGTAAGATAAAAAAATCCAGGTTCTTAAAATAAAATGCATGAATTTTTCAGGAAAACTGCAGCTGGACAGTGAAGAGTAATTATAAATATAATCAAGAAAACATTTAATTAAGAAAGAATATTCTGAACAGTATCAGTAAGTGGCAGATATAAATATTGAAAATGAAAAAGTTAAGGAATTGCAAAACCAGAACAAAGGTAGGGAAAATAAGACATGCATGATCTTGAACAAGTCATTGTTGCAAACCTGCTCAATAGCAGACTGCGTAGGGGCTGATGACTGTGGCAGCAAGGAAAGTAAAGTATCCACAAGAACATCCATTAGTTCTGGTGCAGCATCACTTTCCAATTCATCTTCTCCACATGAGCCAAGATCATCAGGATCAGCAAAAGCTTTCTTACAACATATGATAAGCTCAGAGAGTGCATCATAGAATTCCCCAGGTCGGAGGAGCACTTGGAGTAGCAATAGGATAAGCAAGTACCTCAATGAATGCAATTTATTTGCATCACTGCTGAGACCACAGTTCCTTTCCTGCCATTATTTAAGAATTCAAAAGCTGTATATTATTGCAAAAGTAAATAGCAAAGAAGGATAAAGACAAGGTCATTACTAAAGTTACAAGTTCACAGACACAAGATCAATACAAGGAAACATTCCTATTGTTATTCATCATAGATAAAGCCGTTGTCCACAACATCAATAAACAATGAACTCATAGATAAGTGTTAAAAAAAAATATGAGGCAGTAAGACCAAACTTCCCCCAACCTTTCAATTGCAAGCCACCTCAACAAGCACGCGCAACATAGATTGTTCAAGAACTTAGATTTAGTAAAGAAAATCACCCCAAAATCAAAAACATATGAAAAGCATTGATTATTATTAGTAAAGGAAGAGATCAGGCTTACCTCTTTATGAAGTTTACTCTCCATTTCTTGCAATTTTTTGACTGCCTCTTCATTCTCATCATTCAAAGTTCAAAAGAGAGAAATGTTGCGTAATGTGCTAAAGAACCGCATAAAGTAGCAACCAAGGTCATTTGGCTCGAGTCCATTAGCAAAACACCGTGGCTCCTCAATGTTTTGAGTGTTTGCCAGAAGTGATTGGAGTTGTTCTATGCACATTCTGCAAAGAGCAGTAGAGGTGGTTGCTTTTGGCCATCTAAATTTCTCCTGTAATTCAAATGAAGTAACTTCAAATATACCTTGAACAGCAAGAAACTTCAATATTTCCCTTTGCAGTCGGAATTTTGCTTCAGGGTCCAACTTTAAATGATTTAAAACACTAGGAAGAGATTCTATGAGCCAGCCCTTCAAAAAATCAGTATTCCCCACAATTCCAATAGAATCCTTGTCCTCGATTGAGCCTATCTCAGAATTCTCATCAGTTGTTTGACTCTGATCTGAAGGTTCCTCAGAAGCATGGCCTTCATCCAGAAACAAGTTAATCAAGTTCTGAACAAACAGCATGCAATCAGTTTCTGTTTTGAACCCTGCCATCAAATCTTTAACTGTTTTTGTCATGGTAATGCAATCAAATTTTCCATTGCTGTGCTTCTGAAAGGCCACAATAACAGCTATTCTTCTGACATCATCATTCCTAACCCAATCTGATAATTCTTTAAGAAGATGCTGTGGAACCTTACAGCCAGGAATCTTTTGAGGAAAGTATATCTATCAGGCACTGAACAAGTTTGTAGGACAAAACAATTGGTATGAAAGATGAAGGTAACCTTGGCAGGAGGAGAAGCAGAATATCAAGTGCTAAGTGTTTATGATCATGAGATGACAGAAGGAAGGATTGATCAACAACAACCTCACAGAAGCTTTGAACGTTCTTTGCAATTTCTTCTTCATAAGAGCTAAACTTGCTACCCTTTTTGTGCTTTTTTAAGGAATTAGAAACTGATGCTGCATCTTTGGCCTGCAAAATGGTGTGAGGTAGGAGAATCTTTACCAG